GCCACTTCCTTGATGTCAACTTATTATTGTTAGTATTTTTATATCTCTGATTGTGCTGGTTTTGTTTCTATAGAAGACTCAGACTAACTCACCTTTATTAAATAAAAATAAATATGAGAAGCAATTGTTTCTTGACATATCCCACATCTAAGGCTTCACACTTCTTTTTTCTTACAGCTCTTATAACAACCCATACGGCGATTGTATCAAACATATTTGTACATATGTCATCATCATTTCCAAAACATTTTCTACTTGAGCTTTTGGTATAAGCTCCTCTTTTTCCCCTCCCTCCCCCATCCTCCCACTTTCACGAATCCTTGATCAATGATATATTATTGTTATTTTGTATCTTATACTGTCTATTGTCTCCCTTCACCCACAGTTCTGATATCCCCCTTAGGGAGGGCTATCCACTTCTGAAGGTGATGTTTCCAGCTCTCAAAACCTTCCCTAAAGAATTCTGCATTCTTCAATTAATGTCCCATCAAAACAGCAGTTGGGGCTTCCTCCAGGGACACAAATCATCTTTCTTTGAAATGTTCTTTTGCGTTTGGGAAGCAAGAAGTCTGAAGGGGTAGACCAGGGCTGTAGGGCAGAGGGAGCGCAATTTCCCAGCGAAATGCTCCTAGCGCCCACTGCCATCAGAGAGGGAGCAGGAACATTGTCATGGAAAAAAATACCTTGGCGCAACGTGCCTAACCGTTTCTCACTGATGGAGTTTTCCTTTTCTTAAAACGTTAAAATAAAACCATACCTAAGGTGAATGGGGGCAGTGGGCATGGAGTGGAGACCCAATGCCCATCTGTAGACAATTGGACATCCCCTCACAGAGGGGTTGTAGGGACGAGATGAGCCAGTCAGGGTGCAGTATAGCACCAATGAAACACAACTTTCCTCTAGTTCTTTGGAGCTTCCTTCACCCCACTATCATGACCTCAATTCGACCCTACAAATCACATTAGACCAAAGCATGCACACTGCTACAGATAAGCCCACAAGACAGGAATCCAGGATAGATAAACCCCTCACGGCCAACAAGGAGAGTAGAGATACCAGAAGGATTAGGAGAGGGTTGGGGAGAAAGGGGGAATCGATCACAAGGATCAACCTATATAACTCCCTCCCAGGGGAAAGAATAACGGGAAAGTGGGTGAGGGGCGATGGAGGACAATGTAAGATATAGAAAAAATAATCTGGTTCTCAGCTTCCGTCTTCTTGGCTTCCTTCGGGCACCTCCACCTGCCGGAGCTGAGCCTTCCCAGACCCTGCCTAGCCTTCTGGCGGCCTGCCTGCCATGGGGGCTGCAGAACTCCAATGGGAAGAGAGGTGGGCTCAGGTCTCTGGAGAACGGAGGGCTGAGTCAACACTGAACCTCTGTCCCCAAGGTCACTCCCACCCTCCATGTGGAGCCAAGATGGGGACCAGAA